ACGGTTCGAGAGACGATGAAAAAGGCATTCAGAATCTGGGCGGCAATTCAAAATTCGTTCAATATTTTAGAAATTACGAGAAGTCAAACTTGACGCCAAATTTCACTATTAACGTTTCAATTGACGCCCAGTTTATAAATGAAAATGTAATATATGAGAAATATTTCAATATGCTTCGTGTGTAGTATAGAGAAATCAGATGATTTGCCCCAAAATGTCACTCTTCTTTCTATTGACGGATGCTCTACATCTATTGGAATTAAAATGTTGTCGAAACTTCATTTTTTGTAGAAAATGAATTAAATAATCCAAATTCCATATGTGAAATCCTGCTGTCTTTTCATTGACGTACAAGTTCGAGATGTCAATTTATAGAAAAAATCAAGTTCTACGTCCATGCAATGATATTTCGAAAGGTATTCATCATGATTATTGTATGGGTGCCGAATGAAGCTATTCCAACGTACCAATTTTGAGTGAAATCTCATGAGCTGCACTTGGTACAGGTAATCCGTATGATGTACAGGGTGTTTCCGAAATCGGGGCGATAAATAAAAGACGAAAAAAGAATACGAAATGCAAGAATCATTTTTTTGTCGAACAAAAATATTTTGAATACTGTCTGTAGGTTAATCGAGGAGCTGTTACATTCATTTTACTTGATTATTTGGGAGAATTATTCCAATATATGTGTAGTAGGACAAATCGGATGAATTGCCCCAAAATGTCACTGCGTTCATCAAATTTTTTCATGAGGAAGCCTAAAAGAAAAATCTCATAGCTTGTCAGTGTCACTTTGATCAACTATTTATTAGTATTTTTTTGAGTCTCGAAGGTAAAGTTATACTTATATGTATTCATTTATTCATTCATGTATTTATTTATTCATTTGTTGATTTAGCATGTTTGTGTGTACATATATAAGTGTTTGCTTCACAAGTGGCACTTCTGCTTGAAAAACAGGAATGAAAACAATAATTATTATTGAATAATACTTTTCACATCTGAATACTTCAAATTTCCCTTTAATTAATTGTAAAAAAATCATGATATCCATTCACGAATAAGGTATTTCCCATATTTTTTGTAGACCTTAATAAGATCAAAAGTAGACATTATAAAGATATCTTAACGTCGTGATTTGTAACATCCAGCCTATAAAGGACGTGTTTCAGACGTCTCTGAGGCGTCCATAGACGTCTTTAAGACGTTGTGAACGTCTAAGAAAGATGTCTTCAAAATGTCGTCAAGAATGTCCTTGTGCTATCTGGGAAAAATAAATAAACAGGTTTCCATTTAAAATTCTTGACCTATAAGTCAATTTCCTGTGAAACAAGGAGTGATATTCAATTGTTTTTTCATGAAAAATAGTAACAGATATTTTCCCTTTTATAATAACCAAGTCATCAGCATCTTTTCGAAACTCAAATTCAAGTCAACACTTCAAAACGTGAATCTACGATTTGGTCGGAATGTCACCAAAATCGGACAAGAAATGAAAAAGTTACAGGGAGATAAATTTTGCAATCTTTTTTTGTTGGCCCTTTTTTTTGCCGGTGAGTGTAATATATCACTTTGCAAATAATCTACACCTGTCATTCAGATTGGAGAATACCAAGCATTCTTCAAAAATCTTTCTCATTTTCGTCTCTGAATTATTCATTCGCTATATGCATATAATAATTCTTGATTTTTGATGTTAGACTGCAACTGAATTGCGTTTTTTATATGTATTTTCCTCCATAATCTCATTGGACTTAAATGAACATGATCATTAAATCACATCCACTAAGGGGCGTAGGTATATCATTATTTTTCGAAATTTACCCTCAAAGAATAAAATTTTCATTATCTTTTTATCAGCATCAGATTCTATATAAAATATTCTGAGTGTTCACAAAGATTCAAAGAAATTGGCTTACTCTTCTTCAGATAGTGATATCATGAACAATCTGTAAACCTTCTCAGAAACATCTCCTCAGAAATAGTAAAAATTCACATACGCCACCTAGTAAATTCAACGACGAATTGAACCACCTCAACCTCCTTGAACTCCCTTCATTATCGTGAGAAGTTGTTTCCTTTCCTCCCTCTCGGTATGGATTGATATAAATTTCCACCCTTAGCGAGTCGTTTCAGTGGGTGCGAACTTCTTCAGAATGGATTGCGGAGCAGTCTCACAGGCGCCAGTCGTCTTACTTCTTCTCTTCTCCTTCACAGGTGAGACTAGAGTCTAGAGCGTGCACCATATGAGCAGTCCAATTCACCCGAACGTGAAAATGAGGAGCGATCAGCCAAAACCAGATAAATCCATTTTATAAAGTTTTGAGATAATGGCAAAAAACCGTCCATCAAAGCGTCCGTAACTTTAACCAAGAAAATGAATGGTGTAACTGAAATATGATGATATCGACCTCGTAAATATTGTTTTAGTTTTTTTTTTAATGATTAACATAGTAATTATTGCAAATTACAAAATGGATTTATCTGTTTTTGCTTGAGTTAACTCATTTTATGATGTAAAAAGTGTTTATTTTAATAAATTCATTCATTTATTTTTATTTTCTATTTGTCCCTTTTTGGGGTTCGAAACAGACCAATGCCATTTAATTTTTGGGATTTATCTGGTTTTGCTTGAATTGATCGACTATGAGGTCGATTTTGAATGGGATTTAACGAGTTATGGTTGAAACTGATTGCGCCATCAGAATTATCTCATCAAAAGAAATAGGAATCGATCATAAAATCATTTTTGCCCAAGAGTGGATTCATCTGGTATTGGCTGATCGCTCCTCAAATATCCTTGACTTCAATGAAGTCTCCCAGTCACTATACAGGGTGAATCATGAGGAACTGTACATACAGCTATCACGGATAAAGGTCCCTGACATGAATACCTAATGTCCATCAGAAAATGTCTTCTTCACTTCTTTTTCAATATATAGGGTAAATTATGAGATATGGCACAAACATCTTTTGGTCATAACTTTTCAGCAGCTCCTTCGATTCGTCTGATTTTTTAATGGAATATTCCGCTGCTACCCTCTAATCGACTGATTCATCCATAATCCATGAAATCCAGGACCGGTTTTGAAAAATTTTTATAGGTTAGTTTATAGCAAAAAGTTCATCCTGTTTATCGTTTTCGTGAACTGTGACAGGGGATTTTCAAAGGTCACAAACAAACATCAAAAATAAAATATTCCAAATTTTTTTCACACTTACACTGTAGTTTGAAAAAAAAATATGAATTTCATGAAGAAACGAAAATTTCGCAGAAAATCTATTCATTTGGAAATCAATACTTCGCATCCCATAAATCTTAAGGATAAAAGTGAGACTTGCATTTTCAATGCTTCAGCGCAATGCAAATCAATATATCATTTTATTTTCAGGCCTGGATTTAGTGATTCTTTTTTTTTTGGTGGATGATAAATAATAATCATCCTGTAGATATTTTTCGAATCAGTGGATGGGGTATCTGAGAAAATGTTGATGGCAATCGCTATAAATAATTTTATGATTTTAATTCAGAGTAGATCTTTTTCGAATCAGTGGATGGGGTATCTGAGAAAATGTTGATGGCAATCGCTATAAATAATTTTATGATTTTAATTCAGAGTTTTATCTATTCGATTTGTTTTATTCAGTTAATTTGGTCACCTTTTTTCCGTACTGGAATAATTATTATCTGCCTTTGTCAGAATAGCTTTTGAAAAATGATTGTGAATAAACCTCCATTTTCTGTTCGACTAATTTGAATTATTTGAATCGATGACCATTAACATTTAAACAGATACCCCATCCCCTGCTAAATCGAAAAAGATCTACAGGGTGATTATTACCCTCCACAAAAAATTAAATGACCAAATCTAGGCATGGAAATGAAAGAACATGTTGAATATCATTGGGTCAAAGCATTGAAACTGTGAGTCTTACTTTCATTTTTGAAATTTTTCTCATAATTTATCGTTTTAAAAAAAATCCTGTGATAGTGTGAGGAGAATTTTGGATATTTTATTTTTGATGCTTGTTTATGTGTTGAAGAGGAATATTCTCAGATATATTTATAAACACAAAAAAATGGACATACATTGAGAATTCGCATTCTCCATGTGATGAAAACATTAATTTTTTCTCGGTTTATTCAAGAGAAAACAACTATTTTCCTGGCTATATCGTCGTCAATTTCACAAAGTGACGTAACTCAGTTTATCTGATTTTTCAGGAGAGCCGTTTGAAGTTTTATGCAATCTTCAGGTGATTACAAAATGATGATGAAGATATCTAATCAGGATGATCTTTGGTATACATAGAGTATGGACTCTCTCTACCTGACTGTTCATGGAAACAGTAAAAAAAAATTGAGTGACGTTGAGATTTTGAAAAAAACATGAGTTACGACCATTTGTGAGACTAGATAATCCTATTGTATAACCACTTACGTCCGATAAAGGTTTTGTCAAAAATGTATTCCATTGGTTTAAAAAAAACTAATGAATGAAAAAACATGTTCTATCGACCCTAAAGAAATAAACAATACACCAGGTCACAAAATACAAAATAAAAATATTTTTTTCATAATAAATACAAAGGATATTATAGGAATAAACAATACACCAGGTCACAAAATCCAGAATAAAAATATTTTTTCCATAATGAATACAAAGAATATTATATAATTCTTGAAACATGGAATACCCTCAAAGAAAGATTGCCTCTGTGGAATGTATAATATAACTAATACATCTTCAATGTGGAAGTAATCTGAAAAATAATTGGTGTTCTTGCAACCTGACAACTGGAGTATTCCCAGTGCAAAGAGATTGCAGATCGGAGTATTTTTCTTCTGATATTTTATTAACTTGTGCATTGAGCTTTTGGACAGAAACTTCTCTGAGATCCTTATTATTATTTAGTCGTTTCAGTGACAATGATTTATAATGTTTCTCTAGATGACTAGTCTTGAAAAATATTGTTTTTGGGTAATGTTTAGATACTTTGAACTCCATGATATCATTCCATTTAAATGTTTCTCCAGTTTCTGTGGTTTTGATATTCAGAATACGTAACTCTTTCGACAATGTCTTGAAGTCCAAAATGTCGTCGAATTGTAAGGGAATAAGATCGTATGGTTGTTGCTTCCGAGCTAGTTTGAAAACTGGATAAAGCTGAGATGGAATAAAGAGATTACCAGCATGTTTCATGGCATAAGAAATAGCACTGTGGGCTGAATCATCTTCATTCTGTCCATGATAGGACTCAAAAAATCTCAGGGTGATTTCCTCTAAGTTTTCACTATTCAGAACTGTATGCAGCAGCATGGTGGCCATAATACTATTTTTATTTTGCCCGCTACATCCGTCAGAATATAGAGAAACCATCTTGAATCCTTTCGAATCATATCTTAGTAAACATGAGTTCATTCGATGAAACAACATTTTTTGTGCCATCTTTCCATAATACAAGCACATCCATCGTAATTCTTATAATTATAATCCACCCCTGACTGATGTGTGCTCGAACGTCTTTACTGCAACTGATGGCATTAGACTATTGGAAATTGATGAAATACAGTGTAATCTGCAAGTCTCAACAAGTCTCAACATGCAGATACGCCAGACCTGGAATAGGCGAATTCTCATAACATACTCTCACAAACTGACGTTACTCCAGATACGTCCCTATGTGAGAATATAAAATTGAACATTTTGAGATATGCCACTTACTGAATGTGCTATTGAAGGAAAAATACACCACATTGGGTTACGCCACTTTGTGAGAAGATAGTTCTACGAAAAATAAATGGTTTCGTGGTCTTATCTCAAAATCGGCAATTTTTGAGTTACGTCACTTTGTAAGATTGACGACGATATATGCCACGACGAATATTGAATTACATCTATTGAACACACACGTTAAGAATTTTAAAACGAAATCTTCTGAAGTAGAGAATTTGCATCCTCCTTCATATAAAGATATGCATATGATCATTCTGAATATTCAACAGAAAACAACTAGGTACTTGTTTGTGTGCTTTGAAAATTCCCTGTCACAGTTTACAGGATGAACTTTTTGATAAAAAACAAACTATCGAAACTTTCCGAAAACGGTCCTGGATTTACCTGATTCCTATAAAATGTCAGTCGATTAGGGTTCAGTTCGGGAATATTCCATGAAAAAATCAGACGAATTGATGGAGCTGTTTAAGAGTTATGCCCAAAAGGAGAGGAGAAGACACTTTCTAATGGTCATCAGGTATCCCCCTCAAGGGCCTCCATTCGTAGTAGGAGTATGTAAAGTTCCTCATGACTCAGTTTCAACGAACCAAGAACTTCAGTTCGCAAATCTTCGAATCCAAAGGATAAAATAATCGTGTCCAAAAGACTTTCGGGTAAATTGGAGTCCTCATATGGTGCTTGCTCTAGTCTCCAATCGCGAGGGAGGCTTCCAACTCCCTATAGCTCCCCCCACATATGATTATGCAAGGATGAGACGCTCTCGAATCAGTGCGATGCTTTATATTCAAACGGAGACTGTAAAACTTCCAGAAAGTTTCTAGTGATACCAATCAAACCTGAACTTTTTCATTTTTATGCGTTCATAACTCAATACGGGGCAATATATTACATTTTTAAATGTCGGGAATGCGAATCCGGCGGTTGGGAATTCCGTACTCTAGGATGGGGGGATCAAGTGAAACGAGGTGGAATGCCATAAAGGATAATAGTTGCGCGGTTGTTATCAACTTTTATAAGCTGCCGTCATTGGAATGAGTGGGGAAGTCGTACGATTTTGTGGCGAATTAAAATTATGCCATAAAGTAATTAAATAATTTAAGCGAGACTTCAAGTTTCGGAACAATGGGAATTTTTGAATCGGATTTAACATCATTGCATCATGACGTTCGAGAAACCAGTTCCAGCAATACTTGCACCCCCGCCCCTTTCTTATTTTTACAATTATGTATTCGTAATAATGTTTTTCTACTCACATAACTAAAATGGCATTTAGCGTACGGATATGTACCACGCTAAATGATCGATTAATCACGGATTGACGATCTGTGATTTATTCAAAATATTAAACACGTTACCATGGCAACACGACTTCTTAAACACATTACCATGGCAACACAGTTCATTAAACACAGCTTCAGTAATTTGAGACATGTCTGGCCTGTCAATTGTATTAACTGTCAACTGTTATTTTCAAATTTTGTATCAGAATTATTCGAACAATATTCGTTTGTATCAGAGCTCTCCATTAAAAATATATGCGGAATGTAGACGAAAGTGAAATCGAAGAGAATGATGTTCTGGTACTTGCATATCTCCAAGAAGTATAAAAATGAAGCATCCATCTTTGAGAACAATTTATTCATTCTGCGCTAAGCATGACAATAAACGTGAAACAGAGGTTAGTAAGCAATGGACTAGACACATCTACAACCTATATCACATATACGTGTCTCGCTGGTTGCATGCAGTTGCATGTATTATGTTCTCAATTCCCATTCCTTTCGAATTATTTTGTAGGTTAGCAGGAATTGCAGGTATGTTAATGTAATTTTCGGAGTTCGTAGAAAAAGCATAGTATGTAACGCGTTTATGAACTCTTCTAGACACTCGTTTATTAAACACTCGCTCCGCTCTGCTTCGCTCGTGCTTAAAATACTCGATACTAAAAGGACGTTTATAACACTTGTTACATAATATACTATTTTCTTCAGAACAGGTGTTTTTTAGAACTGTCGTTGTTGAAGTGTTTGTATGACATTTCTCTTCGTTTTTCTTTTTCTTTTGTGCGTGTAACTACACGCTGATGATGAAGCTTATATTTTTGATTGAAGTGTGATCACTTGTCAACACAATGATTTTGATGTAGGTCAATATTTTCTTTTTCAGAGAAGATATTAAGTAAAGTATTCTAAGAAAATATGCGTATTCGTCTTCGTCCGACCTTCAAGAAGAATTTGTAGCAATTTCTCAAGACTGCATGCGCTTGAGAAATTTGATCAACTCGATGCTACGGCGCTTGAAGGCTGAAATTCAAGCAAGAAGATGACATACTATTACTCGTTATTGACTACATTTAGCAGCTATGCTTTTGATGTTTTTTATAATCGAGTTTTTATTTGCCAAACGGAATGGGAATGAACGATATTCATTATTAAACATGTTTTCTAGTTGTTAATCGATGAGTTCATGTAGTTTCAGAATTATTTTTAAAAATCAAGAAAATCCATACTATCTAAAAACACTAAACTTGTTTTTTCTCTGAGAAAAAAAAAAGATTTGGATTGATGTCCATTGTGTTGAGAAAGGATCACACTCTAATCCAAAACTTGATGAAGCTGATAGGAAGTTGAAGGGAATGAGTAACTTTTGTTTTTCTTGTATAATAATCGATCCATCAGGTTTTCCTGAGACCTAACACCTCAACAGCTTCTCAAGATCTACAAAACACATCAGATACGACCAGTTTTGAAATACTTTTCTCATGTATAGGGTTCAGCACCCAAACATACGCTGATGCTCTTTGATTCCATCCAGAGAAGAGCCATTCGCCTGGTGGGTGATGTCACACTAACCAACACCGTAGAAAAGTCGGCGACCTTTCACTTTTCTATATAGATACTTCCACGGGAAATAATCTCTGCTATAAGTCCATCACTAGCAATACCAGTCAGACGAACTCAACAGGCCCAGTCAGCTCATCCTTTCATTGTCAACCTTCTCTACACTCTACCAAAACTCGTTCATCTCTAGAACGGCGAAGCTTTGGAATTCTTTGCCAATGGAAGTAGTCCCAAGAACTAGTAACCTTCGAAAGTTCAGAAAAATTCCAGAATCTACCTCCTCTCCCTATCCTTCCTGAGTGCGCACGATGTTCCACGAACAATCTAGTAATTTTCTTTCGTGCGCTCCGAGAGATGAAAAAAATCGGACTAGCATTCAAACATTCCGTGCGAAAAGCTACTTCACACCTCAACAGCTTCTCATGATCTACAAAGCGCAAATACGGCCTGTTCTAGAATACTGTTCCCACATATAGGGTTCAGCACCAAAACATACGCTGATGCTCTTGGATTCCATCCAGAGAAGAGCCATTCGCCTGGTGGGTGACGCCACACTCACTCACTCTTTGACATCATTGGAACACCGTAGAAAGGTCGGCGACCTTTCACTTTTCTATCGATACTTCCACGGGAAATGTTCTTCGGAAATCTCTGCTATCATCCCTTCACTAGCAATACCAATCAGACGAACTAGAGAAGCCCAGTCAGCACATCCTTTCGTTGTCAACCTCGAAAGATGTCGAACAGCACTTTACTCCTTCATCCATAGAACGACTAGGCTCTGGAATTAATTGCCTGTGGAAGTATTCCCAACAACATATAATCTCCAAAAGTTCAAAAAAATTCCAATACCTACCTCCTGTCCCCATCCTCACTAGGAACGCACTATGTTCTTTGAACATTATAGGGATTCCCTTTCGTGCGCTCCAAGCGTTAAAAAAAATCCGGTCGAAATTTTACCAAAATCGTACAAGAATTGAAAATGTTACATGGCGATCAATTCATCTATTTTTTTGTGGCCGGTTTCTTTCGCCGATGAGTGTATATAAACTGCTCAACACATGAAACGTTAAATAGCAATTTTTCGATTTGAATCATCATAACTCCCGATTGCCTCAACAGACTTTCAATTTCTTTTCAGTTTCTTATTATTCGTTTCATTGTCTATCGAACTTATGGACATGATTATTGCATCTCTTCAGAATGAAATTCTACAGGATGATAATCAAAGCTGTGTGATTTTTCAGAAATTTCAGAGGCCTCCCGTTTGAACGAAAAAAAATTCTAATTTTTTGTTGGGTCACGAAAATAATGCACCATTTATATCTCGATACTGTTTGAAAATTTTAGAAATTGTCACACTAATTACTGAAATATCGTGCACACAGTATAAAAACGCTTCGAGTTGAATTCGCAGAGTAGTTCAGGGTTAAAAACTTTGGCAATCTAACTCTGATACTGCAATCAACTCTATAACTACACTTCTCGCAGATTATCCCTATTGAAGATAATTCTAGATTGAATTTACACTAATGTCGTATTGAATTCAATTTTAATAAAATAGCAATTCAGATAGCTCAATTCACTAACAATTGAGATTGAATTCATACTAGTGTTAACTGACACTAGTGAACTTGAATGTTCCACTCGTGTCGATTAAATTGACACTCTATCATTGTTCAATTCAATCTATATACGATGAAATATCAATCTATATATACAGGTTCAGATCGTTCAGTCTACTGGATAGTA